TACTGATTCCTTAAAAACTTGTCTCTTTTAAACACTTCTAAGTTTTATAGTAATTTGTACTGGGAGGACTGGCAGGGCCCCGGAGAGCAAGGTCTCTGGGGCCTCGACCTCCCCCCATCTGTCTGTACCCCCACCTCTGCCATTCTGCTCTATTTTCTCTGACTCTTAACCTCCCCTCGCTTTTCCTGACCATCGTCTCAACCCCCTTCTCCTGCTGACCCTCATGCTACTCCATCTCTCTCATATTCAGTCTCTCTCCTTTGCCTGATCCTTGCTCTCCCCCTCCTCTGACTTTCTCTGGGTTTGGCACCCAGGGGTGCAGGGTGTGGCTGTGTAGGTTGTCTACTGCACAAAAGTGCCCTGTTGGCTCTGCTTGCCAAGACCCATCTGGATGGATGCCCATTTCCATTTCAGCAGCAGCCAAGCCTGTGCTTTGCATGGGTTCTTCTCCACCTCTCCTAAAGCAGAGGGGCCCTTTTCTTGGCACCAGCTTCCTGAAGCTAGAGCAGCAGGGAGCTTGAGAAGAGAAACATCAAATGTTCTTAAAATGCCATTGTGAAGTCAAAATAGAAACGAGTCAACTAAAAGCATCCAAAACTGTTAAAACTTCTCTGTTTAATATGATTTGCTATGAACTTCAGAAAGAGTTTTAAAAAAAAGATGTTTTGGGTAAATTGGCAAATTTGGTAAATTCAGCAGCCTGATCTGTTGGCTTTCACTGAATTGGCCTAGCATCCAGGAACAGAGAGGTCAGTTACCCTTTTAGGACACTTCTTCCCCACCAAAAGAACCGTTGGGAAGATAACAGCCACCCTGGTTAGTGGTTTCTGTTTTACCCCCAAATCTAGAGTCCAGGAGGAAGTCACGATGGACCCCAAGGGGTTTATGAGAAGCCAGGTTTCTGCAAGTTTAGTATTCCCAGTCGCTTTCCCCAAGCAAGAGGAAGGACTGCATGCCTGCTCCCCTCTCATGAGCCCTTCGCTGCCACCCTCCTCAGCCTGTGATCCCAGATCGTGTACCTGGAGAATCCCAGCCTTTTAGGACATGCTAAGTGTCACCGTGCTTTACAGTCAGGCACTTAAGCGACGGAGATCTCAGCTCTATGGGAAGGGTCAGGGCGAAGTGGCCATTAGTGCTCTGACTCCAGCACCTGCAGTGCCTTTCTCCACGGTTCTGCCTTCTCCTTGGCGTACGAGTCGCCAGTCTGCACTTTGGTCTCCTCTGCGTGGCTGCTACACCGCACGTTTCCACATGGAAGCACACCCTTTGAAGTGGATCTCCAAATGGCTCTGCGCTGTACATATTTTCAGACCGTTTTCCTTCGCCCCAACAGCAGCCTGTCAGTCTGTAGGTACCTGCTAACCTCGGTTTGCATAGATCCACTCCCTTGTCAACTTTTACCATTTTGAAGCTAACCTTTGGATGGACTAAAGACACCCCTTTTCTCATGCTCGCTCCCATCAGAGGTTTAAAGAGATCAGTCAGCACCTCCTGCTGAGCACGCTTAACTGCAGCTTGGGAGGACTGAAGCAAGATGCTAACAAGAATAGAAAATATGTCTATTTTTCTCCTCTGTGCTCCTGAATTCACCTCCTCTTCCAACTGGGCAGAAGACATTTGCTGCTGTTCTCGAAACCCAGTGTTTCAAAGAGACTTCTGGATAAGAGGAGGGCAGAACCAATTTTTGGAGTAGGAGAGACACTCTAAATTTAAATCGAAAATCTATGACAGGGAATAAATAAATATATGACACTGTAGCACGCTGCAACGTTAGTCTCTTGTAACTGTCAAAAGTGACGCAGGTGTATTTTTCACAGGCAAAGGCAGGTATTGAACCTGAAACGTCAGGGCCTGAGGAGTGAGTCTGTTCTGATGGAAAGGATGAATTTTTGTTTTGGACGGTATGTTTCCCTTTGAAAAGCAGTAACCATCACTGAGTCGCTGAACGTTGCAGGATCTGTGGGGACAGCCCTTCTCAAAGACTTGGGGACAAGAGCTAGCTTCGCCAAAGAAGCTGAGCACAGAAAAGTGTGCTAATGTTGGGCGATGTGCAGAGAGCAGGAGAATCATCACGAAGCTCATACTTTGTACATAAAATCAGGAATAAACACGAAGTGTGCTGCTCTTCAGTGTTTCAATGACCTCTGCTACATTAATTTTCCTGACATTAAGATGTCTTAAAGTTCAAAAAATGGAAATAAACTTGAACATAAAGGGCCCCTTAAAAGCTTTAAAAATAGGATAATCTGAATATAAATAAGGCATTGTCTCTTGCCAAGGGTGTCATTGGTACTTTCCTGACCCTTATAGCTGATTCATGTGTTTATTGTCTGTTTATTATGCCCCTTCTGTGTGTCAGGCAGGATGACAGACCCTGGAGATAAAAGAGGACCACACTGCAGACCCTGCCTTGTGACGGTCAGAGCCTAAGAGCAGCAGTGGAGATACAGAATGGCTACAGTCAGTGATGTAGGGAGGTATGCACACGTTATAGTGACAGTTTAATATTTACTTCAAGAAAAAAATCTCCCTTTACATTTTTTCTGTGCGTCTTTTAACGACAATTCCACTAGCCAAGATGTTGGATCAACTGAATCATTATTATAAGGATAATGTACATGAGACACTTCACAAGCTGCAAACTCAAATACTATGGCTTTTAAGGTGAAGAATCCACCATTTCAGGTGTGGTAGCAAAGGCCCCATGCTGGAGGCCTAGGGACCAATGTTTGTTCTTACTCTGTGGGACCCGTGCAGTTCAGAGGACAGGGCCCCAGAGAACGAGCCCAGGAGGCCGGGGTCTATCCAGTTCTATTACTCGGTACCCGGACAAGTCACTTGTCCTGAGTCATTTCCTCTTCTGAGAAATTATGAGTTTTGACTAGTTCATCTCCAATAGAGATGACTAGTTCCTTTCCAGTAGAGGAATCTGAGTCTCTGGTGAAAATCTACCCTGAGGTACTTCTAGTTACAGATGGTTTTTAGACCTAGAATTAGAATAATTAATAAAACCTATACCTGGGAAATGCAAGCATTTTTTCCAGATCATAAGTAGTTATTTCAAAATGAACATGTCTCAGGACCATTTTTCAGAGGTACAGATTATTGCCCATGAACTCAAAGAGAGTATCCTTAAACCCAAACTGGGAAAGTTCTCCATCAGACTCAACTTCAACTGTGAGAAGATGTTTAAATGGAATGAGAGAAGACACAGGAGTTGAGTCTCTGGACTGCAGAGCCAGCAACAACCAGAAGCTTCCAGCTTTGTGGGCAGATGAGGTCCAAGTCACAGAACCTGGCATCAGAATCAACTCAACTTTCAACTTCCAGTCAATTAACACGGCCTCTAAAAGCTGAGGTCTGTTCCTGGAATAAAAACCTTCTCTGTTTTTCCTAACATTGCTCTTTTAAATAGTTTCAAGGTTGTTCAGTGTTTTGCTCACATTTTAGGGAACTGTGGAAAAACTTGCACACTGTAGAGAGAATGCCAACAGGGGAGCAGGGTCGTCTGGGGTAACGGGTCCCCACGCAAACAGGCATACGCTATCAGAAATTCCTGCTCAGTGAGGTGACACGGGGATATTTCCAACACCCCCCAAGTTTTATGAGGGACAGGCTGGCAGGAGGAGCTGTGTCGTGGGTGATGGGGGCGACTGAGGACACAAGGTCATAACTCAGTGGTATCAGGCCATTTGCTTTGTGTTGTTACCGTCTGGTTCAGGGGTTGGATCAATAGATCAAATATTAAGCTGTGAGCTTTAAAAATATGTCCATTAAAGGTTCGAAACATGTGAAGGGCTTGATTTTTAAGGACCACTAACAGGGCTCGTCCAGCTCAATGGTTCTTGTGATGATGGTCACGAAGGTGACAGTTCCTGTGTTCCTGTTACCAGCATGACCCAACTCCTTGTGTGGCCTCAGGTACTCCTTGTTAGTTACTGATGACAGCTGTGCATGCCCAAGCATTTCTGTGACATACTTAGGTTGTGTATGTAAATGGAAATATTCTATAGGATTTAAAAAGAAATGTGCAGCCATAATAACAAACAAGGAAAACTGAGTTCAGAACACCCACGGCTCTTTTATCCTCTTCTCATCTCCATCTTTACAACCCAGAGAGCACCGTTCACAATGTCAGGTTGTTTTAAATGTTTTTTGACAGATGTTATAAAAACCTTAAATACATATACTGTGTGCTTCAGATTGTGAAGCACATACACATTTTCTCCATGTTTTTTGAACCTTATCTTACAAATCTGAGTCACCCACGGGAGTCTGATAAGGGATGCGTCACAATGTCAGGTTGTTTTAAATGTTTTTTGACAGATGTTATAAAAACCTTAAATCATATACTGTGTGCTTCAGATTGTGAAGCACATACACATTTTCTCTATGTTTTTTGAACCTTATCTTACAAATCTGAGTCACCCACGGGAGTCTGATAAGGGATGCGTGTCGTTTGCTGAAGGCTGTGCACCGAGAGCGGGCAGACCCTGCCTGTGGCATGGTGCCACCGCGCTTGTCCCCTCGGCAGACAGGCAGGGCCCGGGACCCAGCAGGGGCTTCATACGATGTGCCGAGTGGCGAACAAACAGGCAGGTGACGACAGCACAAACGTAATTGGAAACTAACTTTTACCAGGGAACAGAAATAACACCATTACATTTGGAAAAGGGACAGGGATGGTTATAAAGTTGACTTTGGAAGTTTAAAAAATGGGCTGGAAATTATTCAGCAAGACAAGAGTTTTAGTCAAATTAAAGGCAGGGTCTGCCTTTCTTCAGCATTTAGGGAAGTCCCGAGAAACCCCAGAAGGGGACCCTTTATTCCTAGATTCAACGGCCTCTTTGAATAACAGTCGTTCACATTTTGGGAAGAAAACGTTTTGAAGAAGTTGTTAATTAATCTAGCATAACATCACATTAGGGAATACAAGATTTCTTCCCTTAAAATGGCAATTTCCTCCTTTACAAACACAGAGAGAGAGAGTCTTTCCTTACCGTCAGTGACAAGGCCATGCAGACGAACGTGAACTTCTTGATGTGGGCCGCGGTGACTGTGTTGCTTGTGCTCGCCAGTTTATTGCTGGGGTTATTCTGGGGAAAGAAATGGCAGTGGTGACTGGGCTCTGGCTTAATCCTGGCTGAACCCCCGGGGATCTCAAAGAGCGTCTTGTTTTTGATTCATTTGATGTGCATGTAGTACATATTTTTTTTTTTTGTCTTTTTGTCTTTTTTCCGTGTCCGGCAACGGATCGCAACCCTCAGTGTTGCCCCCGTACCGGACCGGGGACCGGCAACGGGATCGCAAGCCTCGGCGTTGCTCCCGCGCCTCGCTCAGCCAGTGAGCGGGAGCCGGTCTGTATGTGGGATCCGAACCCTCGGACGGGAGCGCCACCGCGCTTCCCAAGCGGCGCACTATCCAGTGCGCCACCGGGCCGGCCCCCATGTAGTACATATTTTGAGTGACAGCTTGGAAGGTGGCTGTCATGTTACGTCTCTCTGAGACAACTGTCAGGTTCCTGTACCTGAACATTCACCAGGGAGAATTCTGCACTGAATCCCCTTGGTGCTTGGCTGCCCACCTCCCCTAGTGCAGGGCCTCGGCCCCAGCAGACCCTGTGCTCAGACACCACGGGCATCTCTCTAAATGCCACAGCCTTGCTCAGTGACCCCCAGGGCTCCTTCTTTTCCTACCAAATGGACTACAAATTCCACTGGGTATTCAAAAGGCCCTGCTCTGTCTGATGCGCGTTCCCGCCATGACTCCTCCACCTGTGTCTTAATGACGCTTCGCCTCTTTCCTAACATGACTTGTGCTTTTGTTCCTTCTTCTCCTGTTGGATCTTCTGATTTTCTCCCAGGCCCCCCGTCGTCACGCCTATCTGCTCCCTAAAGCCTCTCGGAGACTGCTGACCTCCAAGCTAACTCCAGCCTCACTTCCTGTACTGCCCGATAACCCTGGAGCTCTCTTAGGGCAGGTACGTGTCCTGTCACATGTTCAAACTCCCAGAGCTGCCCTGAGATAAAGCTGGGGGCATCTCACCCATCTCTAGCACTGAAGCACTTGGCACCATCTTTCTTGAGTAGAAGAGGTGCTCAAAGAGCATGTGCTACGTTGAATTTTATGCAAACACTGCAGGTAGCTCAGATGTTCTCTTGCACATCACTCATCTGAGGCTTGCTGAGGCTCTCCCAGCTCCCCTAAGCATGCTTCTCACTCCATCAAAACGAGTGCCTGGCCCCGCAACCATGAAGATCAGCAGAGAAAAATAACCCCTGCTTCATTATGGAGCCAATTAGTCTCAGAGCTGACTAACAAGAACAAACCCTGAACACCTGGCTCTGTATCAGCCTCATGAAACACGCACACGCACAGCTGTTATAGGAGCCACTTGGAAAAAGCTTTTGATTTTCCCTTACTGCAGAGGCTAAAGTCATCTCTTCAATCTCTTCCCCTTGTGGAGGCCAGCAGCACAAACCTCTCAGTGATTGCACATTTCCTTAATTCTAGTCTTGAAAACCTATCTGCTTTTTGGTGTAACAGGTGGTTGCCCCAGCAATGTACAAAGCACGGTGCATTGGAAATCTCCTCTGTTCTCTCCAGGGGTCCCTAGGAGTGGTGCCCTGAAGGGTCCACCAAGAAGGAGGCAGGGTTGGAAAGAATTAGGCAGCCTCACCAAAACACACACACACCTCCCCTGATGATGGCAACATACTACAGCTACTTCAGGGGCACTTTGCTTTGTAAAACAGCAACTATTTCTGCAAATATAGTTGAAATAAACTAGAATGTATCATTAGACTAGCACTGGTCTTTCATTCTGTTTGCCTAATCTGCTCAGAAGCATACTCTTTCCCAGATGATCACTGAACATTAGAATTTGCACGAGTGGAAACCTCTCTCAGTTCATATTTGGCTAGAACTACCAGAAGGTATGTGAGAAATTTTAAATCCCTTATTCTGGAACTCACAAGAGACTAAGGATTTCAACTGTCAATGCAGCAGATTCTGGAAGTCCGCACAAAGAGGTCTGAGATCTCGGTGAATAGATGGCATTCACAGAAACGGCTTGGTTTAGCTCACTGGAATGCTTGGGAACAATGGGTAAGGTTTTAAATGGATTCTGAGTAACTCGAGTTTCTGGCTAGAGGTATGCTTGTTAAAGGAATTTTTTCATAGCCAGTAACCTCCGTGATCATAAATAAAACAATGTTTTTCTTGGATGCTCCTACCAAAACCATACAGTGTTGTATTGTTAAGTTTTGTTATTTTAAGGTGGCCCAAACCAATTTCAGATGAGACTTTTGCAGCCAGGAGGTTGTAACACTTTAGTACGTGCCCTTCTCATCCAGTTTCATTATATAATCTTATTCTCCAGAAGCTAGAACTGGAATTTAGCAAGAAGACTTATATCCATTTTGGTTTTCTAGGATTTACCTATATACACACCTGAAAGGAAAACAATGATTTGTATCTATAAACTGATTAAAACCCACTCAAGCACAGAGTGCCAGCTCTCTCCTGCAAGTGACTCACGCCTTCTGAAGTCCACTCTCAAAGGCAGGAATCGAAAGCATTTTCTAGGAGGCTCTGCATCCTGAGGTTGCAACTGAATGTTTGCGATGGGTGGTGGGTCCTAACCTACAGTCTGCTGAGGAGGTTCCACGCCCAGTAGGGCCATGGGCGGGATCACTAGCTTATCTCACACTAGATGACTCATTGGGATACACAGCGTGTTTGAGGTGAGCATGGGTATGGGAATCAAAGAGGGAGGTGACAGTGACACAGAAGAGTAGCATGGGGGCTGGGCAGTGGGTAAGAATGCTGTGAGAGGGAGGGACAGTGGAAATTCTACCCAGGGGCTGCAGGAGCAGAGGAGGAGGTGGATGGAAGTGGTGACATCTCTCCAGACTTGATCTTACATCTCTACCTCACCCCTGTCAGAGATGCTTGGGAGGCTGCCCTCTAGTCAGAGTGCAAGGTGGGGGTGGGGGGTGGTCAGAAATCTCTCCTGGGACCCCACTCCTCAGGTCGTGCCCCTTCCCCGGAGCCCATGAACAGTTTAAAGGGGCATTTCAGAAGCTGGTGGCCATGTGAAGAAAAGCAGAAGGCTTGCAGCCTGTGGCCTGGCCTTGCTTGTGTGGCTTCCCAGGGCTTCCTGTGCCCACCAGGAGGCAGGGTAGGGGAGGGAGGGAGGAGGCAGCCCCACGTTAGCCAGAGTCAGAGCCCCAACTGCCTAACTGCCCAAGCTGATCTGCTGGGGCCCCTGGCCGAGAGGTGTCTTCACTTCATAGGGCTCTTGGGGGGATAAGATGAAATGGTATCAGCAATGGCTCTGAGCTAGTTCTATAGAAATTCAAGGCAAAACAGGAGCTATTAGTGGTACCAGTGGCAGGCTGTTTGCTTCTTTCCTAGTTTTTATTTTAAAACATTGTGTACTATTTGGGGGGCATGTTCTGCTAGCTGTTTATTTTAGAGTAAAAGCTTGTAGGTTCAAATAATGAAGCTTTAATGAAATAGGCATTTATCAAATGATCAGCGTGACAGTCCTGACTGGACCTCGGGTTACAGGTCCGGAGGGTTATGTTCCTCGGCTGGGATAGTAGCTGGGGGAGGACAGAGCTGCTGTCAACAGAGGTTTTCAGCTGCAATAAGTCTTCTGCATTAGAACCAAACTGTATCCAGGTCTTGCTGTATGGACAACATGTGCATGCATGAGCTGGAAGAGATCTGCATGCCCATGAGCTGAGGCACAGTCTAGTGTCTGCCCTTAAACACACGGCATGAGGTTGGTAACATCTTAGTTTAACTAAACAATCCACAAAACAAAATCTAATAGATTAATTTTTTAAGGTTTATTTTCCCTTTTAGAAACCAATAGTTTCTCAATAGGAATAACCTCCACGTGACAATAGGAATATCAATTAGGTAAAGCATTATAGGATCAGCATCAAGGTAAGCTTAAATTTTCCGTTATTTTTTGAAGAAAATATTCCACAGTTACCTTCAACACCCCCAACACTGCATTAACCTTCTCAGGGGAGGTGGGACTGAGAAACACCAGTGTTCCCAGAAGAGATCCCTGTCTGTCAAATAGTAGTTTTAAAAAGCATGTTCCAGACACCGCACTGCATAGGTCCTCACCTTGTCAAAAGCAGGATAGACGGCGCGGATTTCCGTCAACCAGCCATATGGCATGTGACCCACGGGGTATGTGGCTGTCAAAATTGCCACCGCCTAGAACAGGGGTAATCAGCAGAGTTAGCATGGGCACCATCAGCAGAAAGTCCCCCAGGAGCTGCCCTGTACTCTGTGACAGAGCAAGCGGTCTCAGGTGTGGCTACCACCGACAGATCCCTCCCCACGGGGTGACCAGCACTGGCCAGCCACAGGACGACCGGGAGGACAGAGTTAGCATGGGCACCATCAGCAGAAAGTCCCCCAGGAGCTGCCCTGTACTCTGTGACAGAGCAAGCGGTCTCAGGTGTGGCTGCCACCGACAGATCCCTCCCCACGGGGTGACCAGCACTGGCCAGCCACAGGACGACCGGGAGGGGAGTGGCTGAGAGAGCCTCGTGTTCTAAGGGGCAGGCACTCTGCTGTGTCCCTGGGGCCAGTGGAGTAAACAGGAGACCAGGAGGACACGAATCCAGCGAGAAACAGGCTCAGATCACTGGCTCAAGAAGCCAAGATTTCAACCCGGATCCCCCAAACTCCAGAACCTTTGCTCTTTCCATTGAGCCACACCGACCCTTCTCATTTAGCTCAATTCTCGAGTTTCCAGAGGAAACTGGGAGCCCTCCCCTCTGTCCTGAGAGCCTTTGCTCGGTGTCCCCTCTACGCCTCTGCTCTGTCCTTCAGGTGGCTCACATGTTACATGCGTGTCAAAGGCTTTGTGCTACTCTCCTTCCAACTTGACTCACTTCTATCTTCAGCCAGTATGGCCCTTCTTCTTCTTTAATTTAAGAAGATTAACAAATATTTTGTACAGGAAGCTATCAATGTGTTTCCATGAAAATGAGAGTTTCTTCCCATACGAATGGCAAGGAAGAAAAATGAAAGCAAACAAAACATCTAAACCTACATTCCGGCGGGGTGCAACTCTCTACCCAGTAAAGGAGGAGCACAGGCTTCATCTATTTTAATTAGCAGGACAGAAATGCCCAGGGGTGCCAGGAACATGAGGTAAGTCCCCAGCTGTGTAAAGAAATTATGGTAGAGCGTGGTGTGGTGGAACAAAAAAGACAGCTGGAATTAGGTGGACCTGGATCCAAACCTTCACCTCATCACTTACCAGCTGTGCAAAGCACGCAACCTCCCAGGGCCTCCCTTCCTGTTCCTGCAGCAGCACAGTGAGAATGATAACACCCCTCTCAGAGGGCTGTTGCAGAGTCAACAAAATGTACATAAATGCCTAACACATGAGTAGATGATCAATAAATGTCAGCCCCTACCCCACATGCTGGGCCTATATGCCATTGAGGGCAACTATGAAATATCTCTCATGTACAATTTGTCCTTTTTTTAAAAAAAAACAAAATTTAAAGGGAAGATGAAATTCTAGCACACAGGTGATCGGGATAGTCCCATACTTTTTACTGAGCAACTTAAACTCAACTGTTCAAGTAAAAGAACTGCTGTGACATTCATGATTCAAAAAACAAAATCCAGGAACAAACTGAGGCAAAAGAACGTTCTGCTTTTGATTTATGGGCTACTCCTTCCAAGCCAATGTGAGCCATTTCCCAGGACATGGAAACTGGCAGGACATCCCAGCTGGAGATACGCTGACAGTGCACGCAAGGGCTCCAGGCTGCTCCTTTGCAAAAGCAGAGTGTAAACAGGAGGCCCTAGCGAGCAGCCACCAGCCTTCCTTAAGGATTCAGCAGTTCCAGAGACAGAATCACTTCTCCAGAGGGCAGTGAACAAAGGAAGTAATTCTATTTGTTCACACCCAACTCGAGAGAGGGAAAAAATGAGTTGACTCTTTCTTTGGAGTAGCTGCCAGTTTCCAGATACATTTCCTGTGTTGTGAGTGATTAAAAAGGTTGGTAGGTTGCCGAAGAGCAGGTACAGCCATGACGGGTCGGGTGTGTGTGCAGGAAAGCGGGAAGAGCAGGGGAGGGTGGGCTGGGAGCAGTGGCCCTGCACCCTCTGGGTGTTCTCACTTCTGCTACCACGCGGCACGCTCAAGCACCCCCTGCAGCTGCTGCCAAGCGGCCACACTGACTCATTAAAAAATGGAAACTGGGTGAGAGTCAGAAAACCTGGATTCTAACGCTAGCCCAGCTTCTAGCTAGTTTTGTGTCTTTAACGCTTCCTTCTGTGCTGTTTCTCAGACAGTAAATGAGAAGGATGAATTTAATGTTTTTTCCATAATCATGAAAATATAAAATTACATGATAAGTCACTGAATGAGATCATCATGCTTCCTAGTGTGACTACATCATATAATTCAGTATTGCAGAATTACTTGAGTTCTTAAGATGAACTGGAAATAAATTTAATGTTTTTTCCATAATCATGAAAATATAAAATTACATGATAAGTCACTGAATGAGATCATCATGCTTCCTAGTGTGACCACATCATATAATTCAGTATTGCAGAATTACTTGAGTTCTTAAGATGAACTGGAAATAAATTTTAATCCCTTCCCCCATTCCCCCACAAGGTGATTACAAGTGCCCACATCCCCCAAAAGTGGCCTACCTCTGTAGCTGCAGAACTGCCACCAAGGTCCCGGGAAACAAAGAGGTTGACAATAGGCCTACTGATTCTCTGTGTGGCCAAAATTAGAGCCAAAGGCCACCAGAAGCTCAGCATCTTTCTTATTGTTGCATCTCCCTGCATTAAGAAACAGAGATACAAGTTCACTAAATGCCAGAAGTAGAAGAGAAAAAACAATCAGAATCAAAGCTTTTCCTTTTTATGTCAATCACGAGTCAATTCACTATACTTAAAAGTAATATAAGGAAAAGCCTCTGTAGACAAATCAAGATGAACTAAAATAAAATGCACAGTCTTATTAGAAATTAACTCATGCAGTTGGCAAGCTACTGTGAAAACAAAGCACACACTGAAGCTTGATGGATCCCAATCACTACTTTCCACGCAGGGAATCTCTAACCAAGGTGGAACCCAACTGTACATGGTCTGAGAAACAGGTTTGAAATGAGCCTTTGTTTATATCACCAAATTGGCTGGCTAGCAGCCATGTCAGTAAGAGGTAACTCTTAGAAATAAAAAATTATTATAATTTACTTTGGAATTAGTCAGCTCATATAAATGTGCCTAATTATTTTGGCAATGTATAAATCTACTACAGAGGTTCTTAACTCTCAAAGCTCTCATAGAAGTTATATAAACTGTTCAGAAGCATAAGCAAAATAAAAGTGATAAAGAAAAAGTGATTTCTTAAGATTTATGCAGCAGAAGTATATGTTATCTTTAAAGCCTGGCTTTTATTATGCACTGGTGGTTTTGATTCTTCATGAGTGCAAGAGTTATATCTCAGACGCTTTAATTTATTTCCCGTTGTTGGTGGCTGAATATTAAGAGACAGATTGTTACCATCAAGACGAATTTGATGTGATTGGCCTAGTGATGGAAATAACTAGATAGTGTTTCATTGATGGCTTGACCTCAGATGGAGCTAAGCGGTCAATACAATTACTGTTCTGACATGATGAAAGTAACATGTGGTCAAAGGAGAGATCAGGGTGGAGTGTGGTGATTTATTCAGAGGTATCTATGATCATTCATATCTGCTTTATAGCTAGATGGAAACAAACCAATGAGGTCATACTTGAGGGTATGAAAAATTAGCATACATATAAATCAGACACTGTTTATGCTTATGATGAACTAAATGCTTTGGTTACTTGTGTTAGATTATGTACTATCTTACTTCTTTCTTGTTCAACTTTCAAGGCACAGGCCAAACTCTACCTCCTCAAAAGACACCTGCTGTGGGTCAAATGTGTCCCCCAAAAGTTCGGTGTTGGTAACTTTACCCCCACTGTAACAATTTTATGAGGATGGGAAATCCATTTATGATATTTGAAAGGTGGGGCCTTTGAGAGGTGATTGAATCATGAGGACTGTGTCCTTGTGAATGGATTAATCTGTTCATGGAGTAATAAGTTATCCTAGGTGTGGACTGGTGGCTTTAAAAGGAGCACATGAGGGAGCTTTTACAATTCTCCCCATACAATACCTTGGTCGCCACAGGACCCTACAGAGAGTTCCCACCCAGAAGAACTCCTCACCAGATATGATCTCTGGACTATGGACTTCTCAGCCTCTAAAACTATAAGAAATAAATTTTATTTCTTTATAAATTACCCAGTGTTAGGTATTCTGTTATAAGCAACAAAAAACGGACTAATACAGCTTCTTTCACTACATGAATAAGTTCTTTCTCTCAACTTGAGTGGCTTTATATTCTCACTGAAGTTTATATACTGTCTTGGATTCATGTCTGACTGTTGCTTCTGTGTTGGTCTTATCTGACATATGGGACATAAAGCTACCTGAGGACAGAGACTGTATCTTAAAATTTTCTAGGCCGGCCTGGTGGTGCACTCGGTAGAGTGTGGCACTTGGGAGCGTGGCGGCGCTCCCGACGAGGGTTCGGATCCCATATAGAGACCGGTCCGCTCACTGGCTGAGCGCGGTGCGGGCGCGACACTGAGGGGTGCGATCCCGTTACTGGTCACGAAAAAAAGAGACAAAAAGGAAAAAAAAAAAATTTCTGTGCTGCCCTATGGTTCCTATTCCTCTGCTTGGTTCCTAGGAGAAACTAAATAAGAGATTGTGATTGGGGCCAGTGCAGAAAGTATAAACTAAGCTTGGATCCCTGCTATGAAATTAAAAATAATAAAATGTGAACTCACTGGTCCTAAAATCTTTGTTGACTATAGAATAACTTACAATAGAGAGTAAGAGGAACCATCGATGTTGTACCTACTCCTTGGCCTGACATGACTTGCTGAGCCTCAGTTCCCTCCTATGGTGATAAGGAGGCTGGATAGTAACCTCTAAGATGACTTCGATCTCTGGAATTCATTAATTCTCCAACTCTGGTTCCCTGCACACACTACTGAGGCACTTGGCCTTTGGTTATAACACCATGGCCAATCTGATTATTTGACTTCATTGATTTCTCATTTCACGTGGAGATGGAATACAATTTTATTCTACTTGAATCTCAGACAGGCTGTGGTCGAGTTGGAAATGACATACCCCCAGCTCCGGTCCACTTCTGTCGGGGATGATGTCGTGAATGTTCTTGTAGTAGCCCAGGCACAGAGTGGTGCATCGCACGAGTGCGCCCATGTACAGGGACAGGATGGGGATGAGCAGGGGCTCCCGGCACTCCAGGTGACTGTGAAGCAAAATGGCTACAAAAACAACCTGAGAGACGGGAAACAGGAAAAAGTCATGGGGGAGAAGAGAAAACCGATCAACAGAAGCACAGAGTCGACAGATCTCTGAATGAAAACCTTGACTTGTACACAGGGACTTGGGCTTGATTCAATGTTGCTCTTGTACAATTCAGTGCAGACGTTTGGGGTTCACTGGAAGAACACACCAATCATTTTGTTATATTCACCATTAAGATTCCTATAAGGCAACTGCACATCTGGTTAAGGTTATTGCTTTAAAAATATCTAGCAACTTTGGTCTCCTGGCTCCCCTTTCCTAAATGTAGTAGAGCTTTTCCCTCTTGAGGCTGGATACTGGGATGCACATGCAACCCACACCTGAGGACCTAAATTACCTTCCAAAGGAAAAATCAGTGGTGATCAGTGACGGTATACAGGAAAATGGACATTAACATGTGTAGAGTGAAAGTCACTGAAAATGCTGCAAAAAGGACCACCAGTAATTGTTATAAAACAACCTAACTTAAAATTTAAAATATTACCTTATAAAAGTGGAATAGGTTGAAATAACCAGAGTCAGCATAGATTGAAATCATAAAACAGTATCAATCTCTATTGAATGGCACAGTCTCTAAAGCAAATTTAACAGTGTATTAAACTCCCCATCCTGGAGAAATCAGAGAATCACCTCAGCCCGTCCAGAGTCCTCTTGGGACCGACTCATTCAGAAGACCTGGAAGCATACTGAGTGCAAAAGAAGGGTGACTGGGGGAAGGGGGCATATTCCTGAGCAACATCAACTTTCATGACCAAATATCCATGGAAAAACAGGCCTGTAAAGTATAATCCCACTGAGTGATCCTACCCACAGGATTACCCTGATCATAGCATTATCAAGAAATCAGTGATGATAGCAAGTTGCAAATGGAGCTAGAGAATGAGCATGGTTCATGACATCAGGACAGTCATCGCCACAGGGAGCATCGAAGAGCAGGACAATGGAGAGAGACCCTTCCGAACTCAGTAAAAGCTTTAGAAACTAGAGGTGGTTTGCTGATAGCACACGCTGACTCTGGAGGCTGGGCTGTCATTCTGAAACCCAGTACATGAGACTGGCCTTGCCACTGAGTCCTCAGGGGAATTCAGAGGACAGAGGTACGGCTTGGCTGCATGGACATGACCAGGCTGCATGGAGCACAGGCAGTGGGAGTGGACACAGTTGGGGCAGCTGTCCCCCTCCCCCTCGCCCTCCGAGGACTCTGCGGAACTCAGCAAGGGGAATGAGGGAGCCGTGACTATCTCCATGCTTGCTGCTTCCGAGTGGGCCAAGTGTAATGCACGACCTGAAAGATGAGACCACCTGGCGGAGCCTGGCTAAGGACACACTGTGTCTGGAATCAAAGACTGAGTTCTGTGAGAGGGCTACGATGCTCATTGATTTATCTAACTAGTTAAAGACCTGTAGGACATCCTTATATGCGTGCTTTGGAGTCAGTGCACCTTCAGCAAGCTTCCCACTGAACATCTACAAAACCAACAGTGTGAAACTAAGATGATAGTGTTCAGAGACTGAAAACTAGTTGTATAAAAAATGAGTATGTGACCATCAGCCCCTCCTCTGCCAAGTCCAGGAAGGCTCAGCAGGACCAAGGAGGAGGATCTGGACAAGAAGGACAAAGGAGACACAAGTACAAGAGGAATGACTGTGGGATGACAAGGAAACGGCTTGAAGAGCGGAAGGGAGGGAGAGCAGCGTGGACTCTCGGTCAGCAGCTCCCTGGGCCAACGTGAAGATGTCAGCCTCCCCCTGCATTTCTGAGTGATGCCATCCCTGGTGCTGGGGATCAGTGATAACTAAGAGAGTCCCAGATGCTGCTCTACTGGAACTGGCAGTCTAGAGCAGGAGACACAGCATTCATCAAACAATGATCCCAGTGAGCATCCGATGCCCAGCTGCAAGGAAAGATGTCCTGGGAGGGGCTGAGCTGGCGCCGCGGGTGAGGGAGTGGCCCCTGCAGAGCACTGTCTGAGCTGAGTAGGAGCAGCAGAGTTGATGGGGCGGCGGGCCAGGACTGAGGCAGCAGAGGGAGCAGTGTGCAAAGACCTTCTGGGGAGGGGACTCAGCCACAGTGAAGGAAGGACCTGCAGTTGGTGTGCAGAGAGCGAGGGGACGAGGAGAGTGCAGGGTGAGGGAGGGTCTTCAGCACCTTGCAGGCCATGATCAGGGTTTTGGCTTTGTATCAAGAATACCAGGAAGCTATATTTTAAGCAGGTTTTAAGCAGGAGGGAGGTGACTGGAATTTTACTGGGAAGAGATCACTGTGGCTGCAGTGGGGCAGGATGGAGAAAAGCTGGAGGAGATGGGCAGAGGTGAGTTAGGGTGAACCAGGAGGTTTCTCTAGTAGCGCAGGTGGGACAGGATGACCCCTTGGACCAGGGTGAGGGCAACAGAGATGGGCTGAAGAGGGCAGATTAAAGGAACATTTAGGATTCAAATCTAAAAGGCTTGGTGATGAAGGGAGACTCTTTTAAGGTGCTGCCCACTTTCTGACCAGATGCTAGTGTCATGGAGTAACTCAGAACTGAAATGCTTGATACAGAAGATCATATCATTAATTCAGGCTTAAGGTGCCTTTGAAGGATCTGGGTGGAAATGTCACCATGACATTTGCATAGGCTGGTCCAGAGCTCAGAGAAGACAAGGCTACGGATATTTATTTGGGGATCATCAATCATGTTGTAGATGGTATAAACCTAGGGCACGAATTCGATTCTTTAGGAACAGTATGCAGAACGGGGAGAAGGGCCTTGAGGAACACCAATGTTTCTAAGTCAATGAAGGAGGTGGGTTCACCCAGGAGGGAGCAGTCAACGGACAGAAGGGCTGTGGAAACTGCCTGCCAGGTTTAATGGTACAAGGTCATTAGTAAGAACTGTCTGGGTGAACTGTTGGGGGTGGAAGCCAAACTCGAACAGGTAAAAGAATGAGAGACAAGTGAGAAAGTGGAGAAGGGAGTGGAAACCACACTTGAGTGGAAACCACGCTTCCAAGAGGTTTGGCTACGAAGTAATAGAGAGAGAGAGAACTGTGGCCAAAGGGGACATGTGATCCAGAGAAAGCTTGTTGTTTTTGTGTTAAAATGATGTTTGAGCATGTGTATGTGCATGAAGAAATGATTGCATGGAGAGGGAAGGGATCATTGACAACTGATTGCTGAGTAAGTTTCCCAAGAGAGCAGGACCGAACCTGAGGTACAGGTGGAGAAGTGGCCCCGGACTCCTCTCCTACAATGAGGTAAGCTTGTAGGTGTGGTGGCCAGAAGCTAAGCATCTGGTTGCCTCAATTTTCTCCATGAAGTGGGAAGTGAGGTAGTCGGTTGGGAAGTGAGGTGGGTGGAGACCTTCTGAAATAGTTCCTACACAGTCAGCTGAGGTTAGTGATGAGATCGGACATTTACAGTCTGATCAGTCTGTCCCGCTGTGTAACTTTCTGCAGAGTCATTTGCCGCCAGGGGCAAGTGGAGGAAGACACATAACATAAGTTGTTTCAGGACTGGGATTTTGCTGGAAAGCTGAGATGAAAAGGCAGGAGACAAGGGAGATTATCATCTGATCTTCCTCGGAATGGCAGCTGACCTCAAAAGGCAAGGGCTGGTGGCAGCAGATAGGTCACAGGATGTGAGGTCCCAGAAAGGGCAAACAACCTCAAGGAAATTCTCACTTTGATATTGAGCAAGCCAAGACAGCCCAGATGACCATGAAATGAAACAAAAAACAGCAATATTTTGCATAAACCCCTATGCAATATGACTGATAGGAATATATGACCATTACAATAATGGTGGCACAGTAAAGCATGGCACCTTTGAACCAAACCAAGAGCTTTTCTGTACTATTGTGTGCAATTGGTTAGCTGAGTAAAATTTTTTTAAAAAGGAAAGAGTTGCCACTGAAATTTGAGGCATTATAAACAATTTTCATTTTGTCATTGGTGATGACTTGTTATCTATGTCAAGGTGGTATTTTAAAGTACTTTGCTTAAGATCTATTTACTCATTAGCAAATTAGGTAACTAACACACACTTTTTTCTCGGTGGGCGGGGGTGCGGATAAAAGACTTAAGAAAAAAATAGAATTTATTCCCTCAACCAAATTATGGTAGGAACTCAAAAAACAAGGTTTAAAATAACTACTACACCAGGAACAGCCTGAGGCCAGACGGCATCTCAACCCCACTTCCCTCTCCTGCTAACCAGATCTGCTTCCAAACTTGCCACCCTTCCATCAGCAGGCAAGAGCTAGGCTCAGATTTAAAACTGAGAAGGAAACTGGCTGTAGGTGTACTGGCAAAGTATTTTCCAGAGGTATGCTTTTCCTTTCTGCCTTTGGATGCTTACTATACGAGTCTTTATTTTAGGCAAAGTTAAGAGGTTTTTTTTGCCTTTGAAAAAAACACACTGTACTGGCAAAGTATTTTCCAGAGGTATGCTTTTCCTTTCTGCCTTTGGATGCTTACTATATGAGTCTTTATTATAGGCAAAGTTAAGAGGGTTTTTTTGCCTTTGAAAAAAACACAGATCTACCAATGCTAGCTGAGTTGCTGATGCCAACGTCTGAAATGAGAGGTGCTTCCTTAATTTTAAATTAAGTGATTAAGGCAGATTAGTTCATCTCTCAGAGGATGCTGAAAGACTGGGACAAAATTCTCTAATAACTCTACAAGAAAATTAACAAAATAAATCTAAGAATGTTGGTAGCTAGTATTGAGGTGAGCACACACACAGTGTTAGCAGGAATTAATTTAAATTACTTTTAATAGTGATCCATGAAGTGAATGCAATTAACTTGGAAATTTAATTCTTGGTCTTTAGGGAGGTACTGACAGTTTGAGAGTAGATTACTGATAAAAGGTGGCTGAAAGACGAGGGTGTACAACGGGGGAAAACGCATGGAAAAGTTCGTAGGACGGAATTGAGAATTTGGAAGGGAGTTTAGTGATCAGTCTAACCTCCTCCTCTATGAAGAAATCATTCTCCCAAATCCCTGAAGTAGAAACTTAGTCTAATTTAGAAATTGTAGGAATTAAATCTAATTTTCTGCTGAAGCTTTTCATGTGGTCTCCCTGGTAGGAGAAGAAGGCAAGAACAGAAAGCCAGGGCTGGCTGCCAGACCTCAGAGAACTGGACCCAGCAGAAAGTGAAACGCAGGCCTTCCTCTCTGACAGCCTGAAAAAGATAACTGAACGCACCTCCCAGTTCTTTTTATTTGGGCAAATGACGTGGGAACAGCAGCCCTGCAGCACAACAACATAAGAAACAACATTTAAGAATAATTCCTATGTGGGCTCTCTCTAGAACTGAGTGACAGACTGCAAATTGTTAGGCCAAGTGCACAGTGACCCTATGACCACCCCAAAATGTACCAGGTGTGACTTTATAGTCATTTCGTATGCACACTCTTTAAAAATAAAGGTCAAAACCTCATATAACAAATTTAAATCCATATAACCCGTATTCTAGCAAGACTATACATACTTTTTACTATAGGGATTTTCCTTTTCTCATTCATTAGCAAACACTTATTGAAGCCCACATTTGCTGCTGCTGAAACTAGGTGGGATGCAGGAATGCACCACACAGTGAAAGAAAAATACAGCACCGGCCAGCTCTGTTACACACACCAGACAGCTACTGAGTAGCTCTGGGTGACACACAGACTGTACTCACCTGAGCTATGACGTCTGAGATTGAGGCACAGCCCACCAGGAAACTGTATTTGTGTTTTAAGAGAATGCCAGCGTGGGTCCATGCCTGCCAGAGAGAAAATAATTTGGCATGAGGTACATCTCTGGGATTCTATTGTTTCTTGTCACTGCAATTTACTGTGCATTCCTGAAATACACTTTATACCCCCAAGAGCCTTAGCAGCAAAGTTATGATAAGTCTTTGGTTGGTGAGTTTACTGTAACTTGGTCTGGTGGTGAGCTGCACATTAGATTTTTNTTCCATCAGCAGGCAAGAGCTAGGCTCAGATTTAAAACTGAGAAGGAAACTGGCTGTAGGTGTACTGGCAAAGTATTTTCCAGAGGTATGCTTTTCCTTTCTGCCTTTGGATGCTTACTATACGAGTCTTTATTTTAGGCAAAGTTAAGAGGTTTTTTTTGCCTTTGAAAAAAACACACATCTACCAATGCTAGCTGAGTTGCTGATGCCAACGTCTGAAATGAGAGGTGCTTCCTTAATTTTAAATTAAGTGATTAAGGCAGATTAGTTCATCTCTCAGAGGATGCTGAAAGACTGGGACAAAATTCTCTAATAACTCTACAAGAAAATTAACAAAATAAATCTAAGAATGTTGGTAGCTAGTATTGAGGTGAGCACACACACAGTGTTAGCAGGAATTAATTTAAATTACTTTTAATAGTGATCCATGAAGTGAATGCAATTAACTTGGAAATTTAATTCTTGGTCTTTAGGGAGGTACTGACAGTTTGAGAGTAGATTACTGATAAAAGGTGGCTGAAAGACGAGGGTGTACAACGGGGGAAAACGCATGGAAAAGTTCGTAGGACGGAATTGAGAATTTGGAAGGGAGTTTAGTGATCAGTCTAACCTCCTCCTCTATGAAGAAATCATTCTCCCAAATCCCTGAAGTAGAAACTTAGTCTAATTTAGAAATTGTAGGAATTAAATCTAATTTTCTGCTGAAGCTTTTCATGTGGTCTCCCTGGTAGGAGAAGAAGGCAAGAACAGAAAGCCAGGGCTGGCTGCCAGACCTCAGAGAACTGGACCCAGCAGAAAGTGAAACGCAGGCCTTCCTCTCTGACAGCCTGAAAAAGATAACTGAACGCACCTCCCAGTTCTTTTTATTTGGGCAAATGACGTGGGAACAGCAGCCCTGCAGCACAACAACATAAGAAACAACATTTAAGAATAATTCCTATGTGGGCTCTCTCTAGAACTGAGTGACAGACTGCAAATTGTTAGGCCAAGTGCACAGTGACCCTATGACCACCCCAAAATGTACCAGGTGTGACTTTATAGTCATTTCGTATGCACACTCTTTAAAAATAAAGGTCAAAACCTCATATAACAAATTTAAATCCATATAACCCGTATTCTAGCAAGACTATACATACTTTTTACTATAGGGATTTTCCTTTTCTCATTCATTAGCAAACACTTATTGAAGCCCACATTTGCTGCTGCTGAAACTAGGTGGGATGCAGGAATGCACCACACAGTGAAAGAAAAATACAGCACCGGCCAGCTCTGTTACACACACCAGACAGCTACTGAGTAGCTCTGGGTGACACACAGACTGTACTCACCTGAGCTATGACGTCTGAGATTGAGGCACAGCCCACCAGGAAACTGTATTTGTGTTTTAAGAGAATGCCAGCGTGGGTCCATGCCTGCCAGAGAGAAAATAATTTGGCATGAGGTACATCTCTGGGATTCTATTGTTTCTTGTCACTGCAATTTACTGTGCATTCCTGAAATACACTTTATACCCCCAAGAGCCTTAGCAGCAAAGTTATGATAAGTCTTTGGTTGGTGAGTTTACTGTAACTTGGTCTGGTGGTGAGCTGCACATTAGATTTTTAAGTGGAATCAGTGACTGCACATATGAAGAGTCTTCAAAAAGTTCATGGAAAGATTTGTGTTATCTCTTAATTCTATTTTTCCATGAGCTTTTTGAAGTACCCTAGTATTTATTTAGTACCAATTATATGTAGACTAGTGTACTGGTTAAGTACACTAGTTGTGTGCCCAGCAGGAAAGCTGAATGAGTACCAAGAATGGAGGAGACCCAGTCTCTCTCCTGGAGCTCTCTGAATCACAGAAAAGCAGCCTTATCCTCATATGAAGATGTTAGAATGAGGGCTTTAATTTGGTTCTGAGTTATTACAGTCATTAATGTAATCAATCACTCATTAATCAGTCTCACTGACGGATTAATGTTCTCTATTTTCTTGTCTGTAAGTTTGGGCAGGATCTGATCTGACACACTGTGTCTTCAGGGAAATGAGGAGGAAGGTCCTATAAGGGCAGCAGATAACAAGAAGCCCCAGGATGGCAGTTCTGCAGGTTTGAAGTTCATGACAGGATCTGCTTAAGGACTGTCCTTCTTACCTTCAAGGCTGATTTGGACTGTCACAGAAATAACAATTCACCTGAGCCAAACACAATCAGATAAGTATGATCTACTCCCTAGGTCTGTGTAGAGTATTCTTAAAGCAAACATACTTCACAGGGCCTGGTTTCCCAAAGCCTTGCAGTTTCAAATATTGACCCTGCAAAGGACAGGAAATTTTCCTCAGGCTATAAAGTCTCTGGTGTAAGATAAAGAATTGTAACACAGCAAGGTTGCTGGCTCAAGGCCAGGCTAGTTACTGATTTTTATGTAAAGATACTGAGAAATTGCTGTAAAATCACTTAGTTGTCTAATGGAATGTCATCTGACTTGTTTCACTGAAAGTTACCAGCCTATATTGTTAAACTATAACCCCACCTATGTCTCTTGCTGTAACTTCCTGGGCTGAAGAATAAAAGTGGGAAGAAAACCCCAATTCTGGGTTAATTTCCCAAGGAAGGGATGCCTCTCGCTCGAGGGTTCCGGGGAAGTTAACCACTTCAGGGCTCTCACTGCTCAGAAGAGATGGGCTTTGAGTAATCCTTTGTGACTCCATCACCCAAGGGAGGAGGGGTGACAAATCTGTGGGGGGCAAAGCAACAGGTCTGTGTCCAGGCTTTGTATAGCAGCTGCCACGTCCTTCCTCAGCCCATAGGTCCCAAAGTGCCAAGTGTTAAAAGAAACACAAACTGTAGATAAACATTTGCAAACAGGGGCTTGTGGGCTGTCCTTGCTATCTGAAACTCATCTGGATGAGAAGCTTCATGGCTTTCAAATATTCTCTCTCCACCCAACAGATCAGGGCCATGCTGCTGGGGGTGGGTGGGGGAGGAGGGAGGAAATGACCTGCTCTTTACAAATGTTTGCTGTTTTGATTTTTATTAGCAGTCTCTTACTATTATACTAGGGTCTTTTAGGGGGAAGTCACAGATGAAATATGGAAGAAAAGGGTACCAATCACAAATGCTCTGTTGTAATACTGAGTTTTAGCAACTCTCTCATGGCAAATAAATACCGCTGAAGAGTAGTGGAATACAGCTTACTTAAGAGTCTGCAGCTCACTTTTTCTGATGTCTAGAGTTCCCAGAGTTCACCGTCTAACAGTAATTCTTCTATGTGTTTAGATTCCCACTTGCAATCCAGGTGGGAGGACAGGCTTTAGAGCAATATTATGGATTCTGCCTAGGAAGTTAGGCTTTAACTCTTTCAGGATGTGNGGAAATGAGGAGGAAGGTCCTATAAGGGCAGCAGATAACAAGAAGCCCCAGGATGGCAGTTTTGCAGGTTTGAAGTTCATGACAGGATCTGCTTAAGGATTGTCCTTCTTACCTTCAAGGCTGATTTGGACTGCCACAGAAATAACACTTCACCTGAGCCAAACACAATCAGATAAGTATGATCTACTCCCTAGGTCTGTGTAGAGGATTCTTAAAGCAAACATACTTCACAGGGCCTGGTTTCCCAAAGCCTTGCAGTTTCAAATATTGACCTTGCAAAGGACAGGAAATTTTCCTCAGGCTATAAAGTCTCTGGTTGAAGATAAAGAATTGTAACACAGCAAGGTTGCTGGCTCAAGGCCAGGCTAGTTACTGATTGTTATGTAAAGATACTGAGAAATTGCTGTAAAATCACTTAGTTGTCTAATGGAATGTCATCTGACTTGTTTTTACTGAATGTTACCAGCTTGTATCGGTACTTAGCAAAAACCCCACCTATGTCTCTTGCTGTAACTTCCTGGGCTGAAGAATAAAAGTGGGAAGAAAACCCCAATTCCGGGTTAATTTCCCAAGGAAGGGATGCCTCTCGCTTGAGGGTTCCGGGGAAGTTAACCACTTCAGGGCTTCTCACTGCTCAGAAGAGATGGGCTTTGAGTAATCCTTTGTGACTCCATCACCCAAGGGAAGAGGGGTGACAAATCTGTGGGGGGCAAAGCAACAGGTCTGTGTCCAGGCTTTGTATAGCAGCTGCCACGTCCTTCCTCAGCTCATAGGTCCCAAAGTGCCAAGTGTTAAAAGAAACACAAACTGTAGATAAACATTTGCAAACAGGGGCTTGTGGGCTGTCCTTACTATCTGAAACTCATCTGGATGAGAAGCTTCATGGCTTTCAAATATTCTCTCTCCACCCAACAGATCAGGGCCATGCTGCTGGGGGTGGGGGGGGGGAGGAGGGAGGAAATGACCTGCTCTTTACAAATGTTTGCTGTTTTGATTTTTATTAGCAGTCTCTTACTATTATACTAGGGTCTTTTAGGGAGAAGTCACAGATGAAATATGGAAGAAAAGGGTACCAATCACAAATGCTCTGTTGTAATACTGAGTTTTAGCAACTCTCTCATGGCAAATAAATACCGCTGAAGAGTAGTGGAATACAGCTTACTTAAGAGTCTGCAGCTCACTTTTTCTGATGTCTAGAGTTCCCAGAGTTCACCGTCTAACAGTAATTCTTCTATGTGTTTAGATTCCCACTTGCAATCCAGGTGGGAGGACAGGCTTTAGAGCAATATTATGGATTCTGCCTAGGAAGTTAGGCTTTAACTCTTTCAGGATGTGAAAAGGTCACTCCATTCAGTCCTCCAGCTGGTTTAAAAGCACTGTGCTACCACCGTGCTCTGTGGACCACAACCTCTCTGCCTTTTTCTGCTGCCTGAGTTAACTGCAGCAGCTACCAGAGTAAACACACCTGCAGCAAGTGAGAAAAAGCAAGTCCAGGTACAAGTGTTCAGATGACCCAAGTCTCACTCCCAGAGTGACATCATAACACGCAAGAACCAGAACTTTCATGTCCCAGCTAGCAGGTTAATATGTAAGGCTAGCATGCAAACTGGTAGAAAGCTGTCAGAGATTCAATGAGGCCGTGCCAATAACCTAACTACCGACAAACAAAGACTTCTGATGACACTGTAGAAGATGAGCCATATGTATTTGCACCTTGTCTCTTTCCTTAACACAGATGTGCACTCAGCTCATGCATCTAACGTATATAAAAAATACTTGAGGTAGGGGTGGGAAACAACGATGCAGACTAACATACTTTTGAGTCTCCTTCCAAGGGTAATTTAAAATGTAGCCCAAAGAAAGGGCTTATTTTCCAGTATTGAACATTATTGGAAATATATACATATATTGCTAAGTCTCTTTTATATCTATGACACAGTTGAAAAGAAAAAAAGCACTGTCTGAGAATGCTTCAGTATCATGACAAAGAGTTTATGCGAGTGAGCGACCCTTAGCTAATGTAGCAAAGCTGGTTACTAAAGTAATGAAATCCTATCAGTAATGTTCAAGAGACTCTTATATTAAAGCTTTGGGTGTTGATACCACACAGGTGGGAAGTTTTTAAGAAAGCTATTCAGATCTTTTGATCCTGAGTATATCAGAAAAGAACTTTGTATTTGAATCAAATTTTTCAAATGGGCTCTCTTGCCGCCCATCAAAACTTGTGGCAAATAGAGACAATTCTTGTAAAATATATTGACAAGATGGACGGTTGAAAGTCAACGGTCAGCTGGAACCCTTGCGCACTACTGTGTGGGATATAAAATGACAGAGCTGCTATGGAAATCAGTGTGATGACTCCTCAAAAATTAAAAATAGAATTACCATATGATCCAGCAATCCCACTTCTGGGTATAGACCCAAAAGAACTGGGACCAGGGACTCAAAGAGAGACTCGTATACCCATGTTCACTGCAACATTTTCATAATAATCCAAAGGTAAAAGCAACACAAGTACCGACGGATGAACAGATAAGCAAAATGTGGTATATACAAACACTGGAATATAATTTGGCCTTAAAAAGGAAGGAAATTCTGACACGTGCTACAACTTGCATGAAAGGAGGACATGATGCTTAGTGAAATAAGCCAGCCACAAACAGCCAAATACTGCATGATTCCACCCATATGAGGTACCTAAAGTAATCAAATTCATAGTCAGAAAGTAGAAGGGTATCCGGGG